AAAAAGTAGATGTTGCATCTCTCATGTAGCTGGGGGCATAGCCGCTTCAGGAACTGCAGCTGGCAGCATAGGGAGATCAGGTGCTGCAGGCAGTGTAGGGATCTCAGGATCTTTGTCTGCAGCAGTCCAGACATGCGCAGGCTCCTCAGCAGTCAAGTTAGGAGCGGGCTCCGCAACAGTCGAGTCAGGAGCTGTGTCTGCAGCTGGTCAATAAGGAGATGTGGCAACCCCTGGTGGAGACTTAGGACCCTCACACGGCATGAAGAACACAGGGACTGCAGCAGGTGTAGGAACTACAGGGACTGTGGTTGATGATGGAGCCACCACAGGGACTGCAGCGAGTGTGGGGCTCTCAGGAAATGGGTCATGGTTGACACCCACTGGGAGACACGAAGGTGGGTTCTCTTCTTGTTTTTTAAGAGTCTTTACTTTAAGAAGTACTTGGAAGTGCTCGGGGTTTTATATTACTTTGGGTACAGATAACAAGAGTGTTTCCATCATGAAGAAAATAGTGTGTCAGAAATTACAGTACAGGTTGAGGGAAGCAGAATTATAAAGTATTTGCTTAAAAAGATGGAGGATGTCAGCAGAAGGACTATCAAAGGAGCCCACTGCCAATTTGGGGCCTTCTGTGGTAAACACAGTGAAGGAGGCATTGGGTCCAACCTTCACTGAGACACTGAGTAGGGGTGAGGTATTGGGTCCAAGCCTCACTGGGCCCCTGGGAGGTGAGGTGTCGGAACTAGTCCTCACTGAGACACTGAGCAAGGGTGAGGTGTCAGGTCCAACCCTCACCAGGACTCTGGGAGGTGAGGCGTTGGACAAGCCCTCACTGAAGCTCTGGGTGAGAGTTCATGAAACTCAGCCTCGCCAGGCTGAGTAGAAGAGACTGAGGGTGTAGGAGGTGCCGGCAGAAATACAGTGGACCGGTTCCAGGTCTGTCTTTGACCACCCCTGCAGAGGCAATGTGGATCAGGGATAGAAGCCAACCAGAGCTCGTCCTCCAGCTCTGCATCCTCCTCTGACATCCACCCAAAAAAGTCGTGGGAGTGAGACGCTGGAGAGGAGGGGAAACTGGGCTTGAACACCAGGCAGCTCTCCCGGAGCTGAGACCTTTTCCTTTCCTCTTCATCAACAAGAAGAGCTGAAGACAGAAGTTGCACCGCCTGGCTGCAGTGTCCTTGTTTCCGGTCGGGTTTGGTCTGGAACCCGCTCCACCAGATCACGGACTCTGTGCTCGATTGTCCAGACTGGTGAGTGAATCCTGGGACCACCTGCCTGCTGGGTTCCTGTTTGATCGGTGCATCCTGTCAAAGTTTTAGCAGGACAAGGCAGGTAGAACCCAATTGTGTAGGCAGGGGCTCGGAGACTCAGCAAAGTATAATTAATACTTTTAATAATAAAAATAAGTTGACGTGGCAGCAAAAACTTATAAGGAGAGATAAACTCAGGAGAAACACCAGGACCAGACGAGATCATACCCAACGATGCACCGTCAATCAATAGGACTAAATCCCCCAGTATACTCACGTGTACGTCCGTACGCGGAGGACACGGTGTCGCACAATAAACTGCTCGGTGACGGACTATTTTGTATGCAACACCAATGTGTTTAATTCCCCTTCTTCATCCCTGATCTGGCCTTTTTTTTTCTGTTTATTTGCCAAAAGGCAAGCAATCTCTTCCTCCTCCGTTGATGCCATGACTGAAATGGTGAGAAATAAAGGAATTTGTCACGATCGAACTAAACTGTCCAGCATGGCTGCGGGAGGGTCTGGAGATTTCCTGGTGGGCTGGTCAGATGTGTGGGCTGCAGGACCAGCGCTCCCTGTTTTTTTTATTTGTTTTTTTTTTAGATCTTTTTATTAACAACATATAAACACAGAACACTGCTGCAGCTGAGGCTGCCAGTGCTCGTTTTTTTCTTAAGACCTGTCAATCAGTCGTAGGTGTGTCAGCAAATGACCAATCGGCAACCTCAATTTGTCCCGAAGGTAAACGCCCCTTGTCTATGGAGCTGCTCTCTGCAGCCGCTCAGGGTGGATGCTCGAGTATGAAGTCTGAACTCTCTGCGTACAGTACGCGTGTACATACGTGTGGATAGACGTATACGGGAGTATACTGGGGGCTTAACAGACATACTTAAATACAGACATAGTAACGAGACAAGTGCCAACAGATGTGGAGCGTCACAGGTGTAAGGAGACAGGGAGTGATTGACAGAGGGAGAGGCAGGACAGAAACAGAACACAATAGGCAGTGGTGGGATGTAATGACGTACAAGTACTTCGTTACTGTACTTAAGTACATTTTTCATGTCTGTACTTTACTTAAGTAGAATTAAACATGGGTACTTTTGACTTTTACTTCACTACATTTTCCATTAAGTATCTGTACTTTCTACTACACTACATTTCTATAATGCGTTGCGTTACAAGTTATATTCACGTCACATTGCATTTTTTTTATTTATTTGTTCATTAGTTTGATAGTATCCAATGGTGAGAGGGGAATTGGGCCATTGAACCAACCAAAGTAGGCAGGTAACATTAGACCCGCCTTCAGAAAGCGCTGGGTCAATGACGTATACGACCTGTGTGCTCCTGCAGCACCTGGCTCTAACACACCCAAAATTAATTCCACCTCGGAGAGTCAGCAGGAAGATACGTGCCACCCATGGTCTTATTAAAAAAAAAAAATTTGAGTTAACCGGTTCAAAAAACGACTCGTGGAGATTCCAGTGTCAACTTTGCCTCCCCTGAAACCATGAACTCCTGTCTTTCAAAAATTTGCTGTCAAATCTGAAAAAACACGTCGAGGTAAGTGAAGTTGCTAAATGAACAAAGTCCATGCTCAAAAATCCAGGTATACAAGCCAACATTTTTCAGTCAGGTCATCTGGACAGTTTCTTTTTTTTTTTGTGCTGAAACGTTTCGCCTTCAGTCTGGAAGGCTTCATCAGTCAAGGAAACACACAACAAAACTTATTCTTCCCCCAACAGCTTACTCCAAAGTGGAACAAACCAGTTCTGCTTGTGATAAGATGGTCTCTTTGGTACACCCCTCCTCCATTGCCGGCCCTCTTCCTTGTTGACAGTCTTGTCAGTTGAAGTTGTTAAATGCTACCTGACTTTTGCATGTGAAATTAATTTAGGTTAGTGAAGTCTTATGCAACCTTAACTAGCTTCTTGTTCCACTGTACCGCTAACAAGTAAACACAATTAAATTATTATAATCTAGCATGAACAGGCAACATCAATCAACCTTTTTTTTTATACAGGTAAATCCCAGGTAAATCCCAACATGCTTGTTGTTAACACAGTGTCGTCTTGGTCATGCGTGTTTGCTTGGATGCTAAATAACATGAGCAGCAGTGTTTGTTGCTTGTGTGGCTAGGAGCTTGTAAAATGGAACACTATTAATGTATTACAGAAAATATACATATGGTAGGAATACTTAATGGTATTGTAGACCATTGCATTAGGTAATATATTCAGCAAGTACTTTTAATTTTAATACTTTATGTATTTTTAAAAGCAAGTACTTTTTACTTTTACTTAAGTAAAAACATTAATGTGGTATCAAAAACACAAAGTTTGTTTTCTCAGTCATCCAGGTATATAACAAC